TGTGTGTGTGTGTGTGTGTGTGTGTCGCCCTGCAGCCTTCATGCCTCCTCTCATGTTTCTGTCTCCAGACTTGTGGGCGTGCAGCAGTGGACCATCATGGACACTCACAGTAACAAGACCAGCTACAAGCTGACCGTGCTGAAGCCGGACACCACCTACCACGTGAAGGTGCTCACTCAGTGTCTCAGCAAGCTGCACAAGACCAACGAGGTGATCACAGTCAGGACGCCAGAAGGAGGTGAGGCTCATGTGGCCGATGCACAGGAGGCTGGTTCACTGTCATTAACAGTCAGTGACCTCAGTATTTTCACACATCGCTGTCACTCTTCACAAAAACACGTATAGAAGAAGTCAACAGCACTAGAACAGGAAGTGGAGTTACATTTCAAATGAAGATTTTAAACAGAATAGACTAAATGTTTTCTACAGCTTTTGAATTTATAGAGAAATCTGTCGATTAGTAATTTTAGCCGGCGATAAGACGTCAGGCTTTTTACCTGTGCATTTATGAATATTACATTTCACTAATGAAATTACAAAAGAGAATAAATTCACATCTTTCCTTACAATTAAAAAAAAAAAGGGAATACATCATCTCACAGGATGAAGCATTTCTACTAAAGGAGCAGTGATACTCTCAAATGACCTTTCTGCCTTTATGGCAGATAAAAGAGGATATAGTGAGCCGTTCTTTATTTGTCTGTGTTTCCATGGCAACAGGATTGACTTAGCCAAATTGAGAGCTCAGGCGTACTCACTGATCGCAGAGTGATACCGAGCAGCCCCCCCCGGTTTGCAGGGCGTGGATACGAAAGGGATTCACTGTCTGTAAATGACAAGGTTGTTAAGGAAACGTCCTCTCCTGGCGTCTCTTGATTTTGTTGTTTTTCTGAGAGCAGGCAGTGAGAAGAGACGCAGAGAGTAACTGTGGACGTCGATGTAGTTACACAAATGAAACCATTGAGTGGGCCTCTTCCAATGTGTGTGTGTGTGTGTGTCTCAGTGCCCGATCCTCCCCGGAACCTGCAGCTGTCCTGTGATAACGGTGAGGATTGGACAGTGGAGGTCTCCTGGAGTCCTCCTGACAAAGGACACGGCCTCATCAGGGAATACATCGTGAGTGACTTTCCTCCGCAGAAGCTGCTTCACGTGTCCAACGACAATATTTATATTT